GCAGATCCAGGTGAGGGGCCAGACGCTGCCGGGGCACCAGGGCCAGGCTCGGGGAGCTGCCCGGAGGTGGTGCCCGCCGGGACAGCGTCCTTCTCCCCTATCTTCTTGGTCAAGGCGATTGGCCTTTTGTGACTTGGGCTCAAAGCTGGTTTGAGAAAAGTTCCCTGAGATGGTTGTTCTCCCCTGTTGGAGATGGAGTCTCATTCTAGCCCCGGAAGCCCATGTGTGCCTGGTTCCTTGGGCTCCCACATCTGATTCAGGTCATCCACACTCCTGCAGGATGGACTGGATGGAAGGATGACAGCTACCTTTGTTTTCATATCCCATCTCTAGCCTACTGATGGCTTTTTCCAGGAACACAGTGTTAAGAAGGGTTCTGATGCTATATCCGTGAGTGCTGTGTCGGATTAGCAATGTCTGCCATGAGAGCGTGAGGCCCCGAGCATTTACCACTGGACTGGAAGGGCTTAGGATCCAGCTGGGCTGCTAGTGGCTGGTCTCTGACCTGTTGCTAGGGTTGCTGGGCCTTACTCACCCGTGCCAGGAGGTCACTGGCTCAGGGTGATTTCTGCGGGGTACGAGCAGAAGCGTCAGCTGCGTTTCTTGGTGTCCTATAAACTTATGTAGGGAAAAGGGCTTTATCTGCAGCCTGTGTCTTTGGAAATTTGGCCAGTTTTGAAGATGGCTGCTATTCACTTACCTGTCAAGGGGATGCAGGCTTGGAGAGGTCACATTTGGTGTGGAGCCATCCACACTCCATCTGGCACCTTGTGTGGCCTCATGCTTATGACATAAGTGTCCTGGTTTGGGAGTTGATTCTTTGACCATGAAATCGAGGGAAACAGTAACTGTCATGCCCTGGGATTGAGGCACGGGCTCTGGGCTTCTTAACAATTGCCCTAGGGTTGATCTGGATGCAGGGAGCTGAATGATGCTTTTTTACAGGAAGCCTTTGTTGTTCTCTGATGCACTGTTGAGGCTGCAGAGATGGGTGTCTGACTCAGCTGGGTGTCCTTGTGGCTGTGCCCCCTTGGGAAATCTTATGGGCCTTCTCAGTTTCCAGTGTTGGAACAAGGGAGATGGCACCATTTGGTGGGGCCCGACCGTCTGCCTCATGGTGCCCCACATTCCTGAGCATGGCCCTTCCTGATGCTGTGGGGCCTGCACCTCACTCTTTAGCATCGTTGCCAGGGATACAGTGCTGCCAGGCAACTGTGAGCTGGTCCTTCATTATTTAGGAAATGGGAGCTGATGAGCGTGAGCTCTAAATTCAGGCCTAGGAACCTACTTCCTGCAGGGCTAAGGAGTGGGCGCTCCAGTCCACATCCCCCAGCTGGCCTGTCCAGCCTCAGAAGGTACCCAGCCCAGAAGCCTGACCAACCACCACACCCTCTGGGCCATTAGTGGCTGCAGAGTGGAAGAGTTCAAAAGGGTGCCCCAGGCAGCCAGCACAGTGAGCAACATGGGCGCTGACCCCCCACCCCAGAGCCCAGGTTCCAGGCCTCAATGGCACGGTCCCCACCTGGACATGCAGCCCTGTTGCCTCCCTCCCCCTCACTGCTGTCAGCTGTGCAGGCCCCAGGGGACACACCATTAATCATTACATCTTGGAGACAGGAGCAGATGGAGGTGGTGGGGGAGGGGGAGGAAGCCAGGTTATGTTTGGCAAAGCAGAAAGCACAGTCTGGTGAGGAAAATGTTTCTGTGTTTAAGCTTCGAGGAATGTTAAATGCCTGGGAGTTGATATTAAAAGAAACACAAACCTTGCTGCTGCCAGCTGACCTGGGCCTGTGAACAGCCAGTTCAGAGCCAGTGTCCTCTGGAGGGCTTTGAAGTCTCCTAGCCCTCAGCTCCCCAAGGCCCAGCCCTTGGCCCTCAGCCCTGGAGCCATCCTGCCCCTAAGATTGGGGGAGGGGTGTCCCCACAGAGGTGTGCCATGCCTTGTAAAGTCTGCTTGCCCTGGACTGCCCTTGGAGCCACTGAGGATGACAGGCTGGGCTGTAGAGGCCGCACTGAGCTGTTCCAACCTGGCCAGGCCCCACGGAGCCACGGAACGGTCTGTTCCCACAGCTCGCTCCCACCTCCATTCCTGCCACGTGTCCAAGGAAGGAAATTGGCACCAGCCTCTGGCACTCGGTCCTGCCCCACTTCAGCAGGCGCCGAGGATGGAACTGAGGGGCGCCCCACAGGAGGAACTGAGTCACTGGGGACGTCCAGGTGGCCTGAAGGGGAGGCAGCGGGGAGAAAGCCCACCCCTGTTGCCCCACTTCTTTCTAAGCCCTCCTAGATCAGCTTATCCAGAGAACAGAGAGGGACCCCGTTTCCTAAGCTCCAGGCATTTACTCCAGGATGAGTCTCCGTCTCTGGGTTGGCCAGATGCAGCACTGGGGGCAGGGGATCGGAGCTGGCGGGGAGAAGGGGCAGCCTGGAGTGATAGCAGGTGGCAGCGCTGATCACCAGTGTATGTCCAGCACTTGTGCTGTGGGAGGCCCATTCCCAGATGTCCTCACGTGAGCCTTGCAACAGCACTGCCAGGAAAATGACAGTCGTAGCCTCCCTGTTTGGTAGACGAGGACACTGAGGCCCTGGTGCCTCTGCTGACTGTGCAGGGAAGGCCGTGCTCTCTCCCCTGCGCTGTGTCCCTGTGCCCCAGGCCTTCATCGGGGAGTCCCCCAGCCCGGGGGGAAGGGCTCAGCATGGCTGGTGGTCTGGAGAAGGAGCTGGAGGTGGGGGTTCCCACCCCTGCATCCCACCTTATGGCATAAGGTGAGCGGAAGGCCTCCTTTGGTGTCCTCTCACCTCTGGGCGGGGGACATTTCTGCCTCGTGTACCTGGAAGAAAGCAGAATGAGTGTGCGTGGAAAAGAGCCAGGGTGGGGACTTTGCTTCTGCAGTGTGCACAGCACGGACTGGCTGCTCTGAAGTGCAGGGGCCTGGCCTTAAGGAATCTTCTGCCAGATTGGAAAGACAAGCATTGTCAGTACACAGCACACAGCTAGAGGACAAGGCAAGGTGCTGATGACGGTGGGGATGGTGATGGTGATGCTGGTGGTGAGGGTAACAGCTCTGTGTGAGCCCCGTGCTGGGCTAACGCTCACAGCCATTACTCCAGGGGTTCTACCTAGTACCCTTCAGGGTAGGAAAGTCATCACACTTTAAAGATGAGAAAGCTGAGGTTAAGTAACCTGTCCGAGGCCAGGGCCGGCTGGTGGGGGAGCCAGGACTGGAGCCAGAGCCCGTGCCTTGCCCTCTCTAGGGGCTCTCCTGTCCCCCACTGCTTCCTGTGGAACAAGAGGGAAACTAGCACCACAAGGATTCAAACAAGGAAAGAAAGACCATCGTGCGCTAGCGTTAGGGAGGGTTCTAGGAGGAGGTGGAGCGAGAGGAATCTGAGAGCACTGGGTTTCTAAATTCCAAAAGCAGTGTTTATATTAGAAAGAAAGTAGCGATAATAATGAGGAGACTTGAAACATAATCACAAACCATCCCTGCTCCCACTCCTCCCAAACGGCCGTTTTATTTTGTGCCTTTTTCCTTCCTCACGTACACAAATTTTTATATGGTTTTAATGATGGTGTGTATTTTGGCTTTTTCTTTTCCTTCTGTTTTCACATAATGTTATCATAAACCCCCTTTTCTCTAGGCTGTATGTAGGCTTTATAATTAACCTTTTTTGTCACACTGTCAAAATGACTTCATAAAAGTCATTTTACATAATGGCCAGCACATTAATTGCCATTTTAAGGCTTTGTTATTCTAGCAGGGGCTGGATCAGCAGAAAGGAGTGGGGCAGGCATTCTGGGGGAAAGGGCCCACAGGGCTAAGAGCAGGGAGGCAGGAATGTCCAGGGAGTGTCCCAGGAAATTAAGGAGCCCGCCTGCCCTGAGCGGGAGGGATTGTGAGCAACGCAAGTAAGAGGGAGGTTTAAGGAATGAATAAAAGAGGAATCAGTAGGGTTTTTAGGCTAGGAGGAATCGTGGAGGGCGTTTTATCCAGTCCTGTTTTGAGGGGGACAAGGAAACTGAGACCAGAAAGGGTGAGTGACGTAGCCACAGCCACACAGCGCATTGGTGGTTGAGCGAGGGGCCCAGATTCGAGGACCCGATCCTAGGGTTGCTCATGCTTGGTCAGCTGCTGGGCACATGAGTAAATGAAAATTCTTAGATGGGGCAGAGGCAGACTCAGATGTCAGCCTGTGACACTCAGGATCTGCCCTTTGTCGCTGCAACACTGCAAATCTAGTGGAAGATCCCGTCAGCAGGCTGCGTGTCTCCTCTTCTAGATTCAGGAGCCCTCCCTTCCTTCCCCAGACCTTCAGCTCCTCCATCCTGGAGCCCCCCACTGTCTGCTCCTCCTGCTGCCCCACCCCCACCCGGCCCAGGAGCCCCTCAGCCAGGAGGCCCCCCTTCCTCTGCCTTGGCTCCGTGGCCCCAGGAGACTCCTGTATGTTTATCCCAGTCTATTTCCAGCCATGCTGCTCCAGGCTCCAGATGTGTTGTCCCCAACTGGGACCTTACTGGCTGGCTGATTAGTGTATTCCCAGGTCCAGCCCTTGTTGACTGGCTGGGCCAGGGGGGAGAATTCTCCCCGGGCGCCTCACAGCTCAGTTTCTGCCACAGACTTCACACATGAAAGGGGTCCGAGACCTGGGATCCCCTTCACACCCCTGCTTTCCCATTTGCCAGCTCAGCCACAAGCCTAGGACGGCCCCCAGCCTTAGGCTGTCTTTGCCACAGTGGGAGGAACTTTCCTGGGAGCTTGCCAGGGCCAGCCTTCCCTGGACATAGGGGAGCTCAAGACCCTGCAGTGAGAAGGAGCAGGTTCCAGGCCGAGAAGGGGACGCTCCAGCTGTCCCCATGCCTGGAGTGCTAACTCCCCTCCCCACCACCCCCCATTGCAGCATTCCATCCTGGTGGGGTGCCTCACCCTCGCCCAGCCCATCCTCCTTCCTCATCCCATCTGGAGCTTGGAGCCTGTGTCTGACTGAGAAAGGAGGGTGATTTCTTTGACATTCCTGACCTGGCCACTTGGAAGCTTGTGAGGGGTCAGAGCTATTATGGTGACACTCAGGAGGAGGTCGTGAAGGCCAGCCCCCTGCCTTCGGGACTGGGAGTGTTCTCAGAGCTCAGACTGGCACATCTAACATCTAGACTCCCTTACTTTTTTGTTCAACCTTGGTAAAACATACATACCGTGAAATTTACCATTTTAATCATTCTGGGGTGTACCATTCAGAGGCATTAAGTACATTCACAAAGTTGTGCAACCGTCACCACCGTCCATCTCCAGAACTTTTCATCTTCCCAACCAGGAGGTATGTACCCATTAAACAGAAACTTTCCGTTCCTTCTGCCCTCTCCCCTCCAGCCCCTGGCAGCCAGCGTTCTATTTTCTTGAATTTGACTATTCTAGGTGCCTTGTGTAAGTGGAACCCTACAATATTTATCTTTTGGTGACTGGCTCACTTCAATTAAAGTCTCTAAGGTTCTTCTGTGTTGAATGGTAGCATGTGTCGGAATTCCCTTCCTTTTAAGGCTGAATAGCATGGTACGTAGTACAGACTACATTTTGTTTATCTATTCATCCATCAGTGGACATTTGGGTTGTTTCCACCTCAAACTTTCTTACTTTGAAGAATAGAGCCTGCTCGCTGAGGATGGAGATTTCTCCTTCTCTCCAGACCCAGGGTTAGCACACCCCTCCCCCACCCCCAGGGGCTCATCTCTCTCCAGCTGTAATAGGAGAGCAGGGCCCCAAGCCCCCCGGGCAGCACTGGTAACTTCAGCCTCTTCTAGTTGAAGAACATATTTGCCCCCATGGCTTTCTCTCCCCCAGTGTAAGCATCCCTGTCTCCTTGGCACCCCCTTCTCAGAACTCCTTTGCCCACCCCTCTGTCAGTGGTTTAGGTGGAGTATGGGGTGCAGTACATCTGATAGTGTGGGACGAGCATGGGGCTGAGGGTCAGAAAACACATCTGGGTCCCTTGACCGCTTGGAGGCCTCGGTTTCTTCATCTGTTAAAAGGAACAATTATTCCCACTCTGCCTTCATCTTGGGCTTGTAGTGAGGCTCACAGGATGGAATGTCTCTGAAAGAAGCTGGTCAGTGCACACCCACGCTTTCCCTGGTGTGGTCATGTGTTTCTGTTGGTGGCGCGCCCCATAAATGGCAGGTGCTGTGCTGTGAATGCAGAGAATGGACAGGACCTCCACAAGTAGTGAAGAAAACAGAAGGAAATTGTGATCATTCAGCTGCTGTTGAAGGGACTTTGAGGCCTGACAGATCTGTGCTTCAGTCTCGCTTTCTCCATTTGTCAACTGGGAGAACACAGCAAGCTACTTTACCTCTCTGAGCCTCAGTTTCCTCACCTGTACAATGGGCTGTTAAGAGAACTGAATGTGAAAGTCTATGAGGCCCTGAGCACAGGGCCTGGCACAGAGTCAGTCCTGGTCTAATGATGCCCAAGCTGGCAGGTCCAGGTCCACTGTCCTTGCCCCAGGGATTCTGGGGATGTCACCTGCAAGTGGATCATGTATTTGGGCCTTAGGCTGGCTGAGGCCACATCTGTGCTCTTACGCTGGTGGTGATAGAATGACTTTGATGAACCGACTTCAGAGTGGGCGGGAGGTCAAGGTTGGGGCCCTCACCACCTGCCAGCCTGAGGTTTCCCTGCTGTGCCCCCAGTCAGGGCAGCTCTGGGCTCCTCCCCGTCAGATCCACACTCAGCTCTGCGTGGTGGTCAGCCCCGGAGTGCAGAGCGAATAAAGAGCCGGGAACAAGGGCCCTTTGTCGGTGGGAGCTTCTTCTGGTTCCAATTATTCTGCGGAGCACGAGAGAGTTGGGAGTGAGTGTGGGTCAGGAGCCTGCTAGGCCAGGAGTCAGGGGCTCCTCCACCCCAGGTCCCTCCCTCTGGCCCCCGAGGGGTCTGTTGTTCCTGTTTGACTCTGCTCGAGGGTCAAGCGTGCCAGCTTTATTGCCCTGGGAGCTGAGCTCCAGGGTGTTGACTGGAGTCCCTTCTACTCCAGTTCCTCACGGCTGGTACCCGGAGGTGCCTGGGTCCCTCCCTGGGTGGAATGACAGACGGTATTACTGTGGGTCCTTGACACCTTCTCCCACACATCCTTCAGGCCATGCTGACCACAGCTGGGCCCCCTGGGAGTGGCTGGTTTTGACTGGGATGGGGGTTGGCTATGAGAAAACCTTGACCTGTGGGGCTAGCCAGAGAGCTTTTACCTTTCATTCCCCCACCCAGCCTCTAACCCCCAGCCTGGCACCTCACAGCCCTAGGCAGCTCCCTGCCCTGGGACACCGCAGTGGCCATACTGGGTGTGGCTTTCCAGCCTCCCACCTGCCCGCAGCCTGGGCCAAGTGTGCACGTCCAGGAGAGGCATCTGCTTTGAGTGTTTTATGTCTGGCTGCCTGCTGCCTCTAGCAGGTCCATGTGGGGCCCTTTCCTTGGCCGCTGTCATCACCACTGTGCCAGCCCGAAGGCACCTGGGGACGGGGTCAGCTTGGGCACCAGGGCTGTTCCTCTCTGTGCCTCTGACCCCACCTCTTCCCAGGGCCCAGGTGACTAGAGCCATTGTTGTCCCACTCACCCCAGCCGTTTCAGACGTATTTGTGTTCAGTGCCTCACCTGCTGTCCCTCTTCAGGGCAGGTCTGGATGGCTCAGTTATACTTGGAGAGTGAAGTGGTCAGCAGGATGGGGGAAAGCCAGGGGCAGGATCCCATGAGAGGGCTGGCCCTGCTGTCCTGGGACTTTCCCAGGCTTGTGAGACAACCTCTCTTCTGGCCCATGCTCAGCCGCCTCCATCTCCCAGGTGTTCCTGATGTGGGGAGCCTGGACTCTGTCCAGGGCGTTTTGGAGACAGGAAGATTCGGTAGGAAGCAGATGGAAGCTCAAGTCTCTTCTCCCTCCTGCCCCGTTTGGGGACGTCCCCTTGGCAGGCAGGCAGGCAGGCGTGGTGCCCGCTCCCCAGGCCCGCCTGTAAGGGGTGGGAGGCAAGTAGAGAAGCTGATCTGGAGAGGACCTTGGGAACTGATTCGTTCAGGCCCTGAGAACAGCCTGCCTCTCAGTGAGACAAAAGAGGGAGGGCTCTCCCAGCTCCAGGACCAGGGACTCCTAGACTCAGAGGCAGAAGGCTCAGGTGTGATCACAGCTCCACCACCTGATAGCAAGGTCACCTCTCCAAGTGCTTCCTCTCGAACCAGTGCGCGTCTTCGATGTGTCCTTGGGAGACAGTACCCAGCATCCTGCACACATCCTGTGACAGGCAACCTCCCTGCTGGTGGAGGCTGCAACTTCACCCTCCTAGGATGTCCCGCTTTTGATTTTATTCAAAACCTTTGAGCAAAGGACTTAGGAGAAGGATTGCTGGGGACTCCTTGCCTGAGGGCTGAGTCTGGACATAAATGCTGATCAGGGGGCACCTTCAGTGGGCTCTGCCCGCCTTCCTCGCTGTGGCTCTGCAGAGCCCACCATGGCCCCTCACTCAGCCCCCCTTACCGTGGCTCTTGGTGAAGGTCTGACCCCTAGGTGCAGCCCACTCCCCGGGGAGGGCTGGGTGCGGCCTGTTCACACCCTTGGCGGCAAGAACTGAACTGCACTGGCTTCAGGGCCAAAGTGACCCATAAAACAGCAGCCTGACTGACAGAATGAGATAAGTGTTATCCTATTGTAAGGCCATTGAAGGGAACCCACACTAGCAAAGCCGAGGCCCAGAGTTTTCCCAAAGCAGAGAGTAGAGATAAGACATGAGTCTCAGATCTAGGACTCTGACCGAAAGTTTCTTTGAAAAGCCCCTCATCTCCTGGCCTCCATATCTACCCACCCTGAGGGGGAGCGAGGTTCTCTGGCCGTGGTTGACAGTGGTTCTCATCGGAACTGCTATGAGCCCGTCCCCTTGAAAGGAGGACCAGGAGCTTTAGAGTCTGCAGGGCTTGGGGATCATTGGGGGGACCTGAAGTGCCCCCAGCAGAGGGAGGTGGACAGAGGCCATGTGAGTGGGTAGGGTTGGCCTCACTTCAGCCAGGGTCCTCTGCTCCCTGCTTCTGCTGTCATCTGACTGCAGGCAGGGGAACTTCAGCATAGCTTATATTTGGAAAGAAAGGGGAGGAATTCCCTCTGCTTAAAAAAAGATTTCATTGATGACCACTTGTCTGGCCCAAGCTCCTGTTTGACAGGTGTAGAAACTGAGCCCGGAGAGAGAAAGTGTCTGTCAAGCCCACAGTGACCAGACAGGACTCACATCCAGGTTCCCTGGTTCCCAGGAACTTTCTTCTGTTCATTTTGACTCAGAGCTGGGTGAAAAGAGTTGCTTAATACTAGCGAAAGAGAAAAGCATGGAGGTTCAGCAGACCCTGATTTCAAACCCTCCTGCCTAAGGCTGCTGTGTTTCCATTGTGTGGCCTGGGAGGTCCCCTGGAGTGCTCTGCCCACTGGCTGTCCTGGGAGACCTGGCCACGCCACCTGCATCCTGTGAGCAGGAGGGGGTCTGGGTGTCAGTCTGGCCATGAGTTACATCCGTGAGTTGTGTGGGAAGGCATGAATGGACACGTCGGGGGCATGCTTTGCCCACTCTGTCCCTGGGTGGGTTTTGTTTGAGATGAGCAAGATGTTCCCAAAGGCTCAAGTGGATTTTCCATCCTCTTCCGTGACCAAATATGCCGTGAGAATCACTAGGGGTGGCCAGGGACACATCAGGATAATTCTGCAGCAGATGAGCTATGTGGCTGTCAGCCTCTCCAGCCCACCTTGAGCCACCAAGCACCCTCAAGATGAGTGCCAGGCCGAAGGGAGAGTGAGGCTGTGTGGGGAACAGCATGTGCTTTGCACTGTCATGTGAATTGGTCTTGGGAGACAGGAGGGTCAGCTACATCTTGAGCAGGGTGGATTGGGCTGTGCAGAAACTGTCTTTTATTCCTGGCTGCCCCCTGTCCCAGCACCACTGACACCTCAAACCTTGAGTCCATCCTAGAAACTGTTCCCCACCCCTGCCCTAGGCAGCCATCTGAAGCTACCAGTAGCCACTATCTACAGAGTTGAGGCTCCAGAGCTTGGAGACCCACAACCCGTGCATAGCTGTCTAGCAGGCAGGGCCCAGCCCTGGGAAGTGCTGGCCTGGATGCCTGAAACAGCCTTTGGTGGTTATCTCAGGATGGGTGGGTCAGTGGTGAGGTGGCCAGGGCTCAGTTTGGCCAAGTAAGCTGTGACCCGTTCAAGGTCTTCCCCGGCTGGCAGGTGGTGGGTATCTATTCAGTGACAAATGAATGAGTAAGTGAATGAAAATGTAGCTTCTAGGCTTGCTCTGCCGTTGGCTACTCGGTGATTTTGAGCAAAGTGTTCATGTCCCCAGGCCTACTGCAGGCCTGGAACATAGTAGATGCTCAGAAAGGGTAGATGGAAAAACATAAGAGGTCTCACTTTCTCATTCGCTGAAGATCTCTGCCCTTCCCATCCATAATCTGAGTTAGGACTGGCACAGAACAAGGGGAGAACCCTTGTGAGGATGCAGGGACTCCAGAGCCGTTCATCTTAAGGGGACTTTCCCACCCTCCATCCCCCGTTCCCCTATAATCGGCCACCCTCCCCGCTCGCACACCCTCTGCGTAGGCCCCAGCTCCTGGGCATTGTCTGCCCTGCTGGTTCTCTCCCCCCGGGACTCCAGTGCCTGTCTCTGGGCAGGGACCGCTGTGGGCTTCCTTTCTGCAGCTCTCACACCCCACCTGCCCTCCACCACCATCCTCCTCCCGGCTCTGGTCCCGTCCTATGCAGGACCCATCCACGCTGCCCTCCTCTGGGGCTGCAAAGGTGGGTTATTGGCGGACCCCAACCATGTCTCTCCTGGTCCTCGCCCTCAGTGCCACCCTGGGCTCCTCAGGCTCCAGCACCCAGACTCTCGGGGTGGCCCGTGGGGGCTCTCCCCTCCCCCTCACTCCCAGGCTGTCCTCGCTGGGGTACCTGTGGCCTTGGTCTAGCTGGCTGCTCGGAAACCCCCTTTCCTGCTCTAGAGTCATTTGGCCGACAGGGACAAAGGATCCAGGTTCTAGTTTGGGCTGAGGGGAAGATGAAAGTCGTTCCAGTGGGAAAAGGAGGTCACTCCAGAGAAGTAGCAGCAGCATCCCAAGGGTCTGAGAAAGAACTTTCCTCCTGTGTTCACAGGCTGGAGGATTTGCCTGGGAGCCGTCTCCACTCCCAGTTGTCACCAGGGCAGCTCTGGTGGCAGTCCCTGCCTCTCCCGCCCACACAGCTCAGGCTGTATATATTCCCTGTTGACCATTTTTTTTCTTCAGTGATACACTGCTAATCACTGTAGCCTGATTCTGCCTCATTCGCAGCTGTGCTGGGTGGCTGGTCCCAGCCACCCCGGGTACCTACCCCTCCCTCAGTATAACCCAAGGCCCAGTCCTGCATCTCCCTAGGGATGGCCCTTTTCATTCCTCTGGCAGAGAGCATGGGGAGGGGATTTGGGAGGATGGAACAGTCTACTAGGAATGTTTTTAATTCCAAAGTCAGTGACATCTGTTCATGTGGGCCTTCCCGCCCAGGCTCTGTTTATCCAGACAGGGGGCCCTTGCATGTCCTCAGAGGCCAGTTCTGCCAGGTGTGGCAGGATAGACAGAGAGGAGGGAGTGTGGTCACTTCCTAGGTGACTGGGACAGCCTGAGCCTAGCTAACTCAGCGAGGCCCAGGAAGGGTCTGCGGTGGGATGGAGGGATGAGAACTCAGACTGCTGCTTTTGAGGAACTTGATAGGAACACTTGTCTTGTATCCCTCCCCGCTGCCACAGCCTGCTTCTAGACCACTGCTTCCAGGAAGGAGTGAGTCAGGCTTGAGGACGAGAAGGCAAATCTGTGCTGTCCCCAGAGAGAGCCCCCAGCCCAAGGGAGGAAGAAAAGATGAGCATCTCAAGGGAAGAGCCTCCCAGCAGCTCCCCATCTGCTAAGGCGCTTATGTCACCATGGAGACCAGTTGGCCATCTTTCATCCAATCAGAGCTTGCTTTACCCAGACAAGTGTTGAACCTGGGGTTCCTCAGACAGACAAGGGTAGGGCTTTGGGAACAGGATCTGCATTGCCCCCCTTCTCTCACATGTCCAGTGGAGGGATGCATCTTGCACAGCATCTCCCAAACTGCGCCCTGTGGCATATGACCCAGATAGAGGACAGAGAACCTTAGAAAATCAGCAAGGGGCCAGTTCTGAAGTTAACAGCTGGCAGTGCCAAGCACAGACCATGTGTCTGCAGCAGGTGAACGTGGTCAGCAATTATAACAGCACCTTACCAGCCAGTTACACAACCAGCACTTGCACATTAGCTGAGGGATATGGAGCAAAGCTGGGGAGGGTGGCTTTTTTCCACAGCTCTTCAGACCCACACTAACCCTTCCTCCTCCAAGAAGCCTTCCCTGATTCCCTCTGGCTAGAAATTTCCTCTCTTTTCTCTCAACTTTCATGGCACTTGATCTGTGCTGTTCTTGCAGCCTAGGACTGGATTTCTTGAGGGCAAAGACGATGCTTTGTCCATCTAGGGGTGATGCATGGTAGGTGCACAATTCGTATTTGCCAAACGCCTGAAGGCTCTTCTGCCTTCTGTTAAGGGGTGTTTAAGCCTTCATCTTTTCTCCTCTCTCAGGCTGTCAGCTCTGTCGAGCACAGGCTTTTGATGCATCTTTGTGATTCCTCAGCCCCTGTCTGGGGTTGAGCTGAGAGCCAGGCCCTCAGTCAGTGGCTCTTCAATGAAGTGACTCGAATGAGGAGGTGGAGACCGCAGGAATGAGTGGAACCTTCCTGGAGGAGATGGGTTTTGTGCAGTCGGTGGGGAGGAAGCTGCCGGCCCCTCATGGGGCTGGAGGAAGCCTCTTTGCAGAGGCAGCACCCAGGTGCCTTGGGAGAGCAGGTAAGGGGTGGGTCAGGAAGGGGACTCAGGTCCCCACTGGAGGGGGAACACAGGCATGTCCCTGCCTCGGTGGTCTCTTCCCCTCCCACTCAGGGGACTGGGAAAGCTGTTGTGACTCCGCCTCATTTAGCTGCCTTGGCTTTGGGCAACTTTGGCTCAGGTGTGAGGGGGCTTTGTGCAGCCCTGGCAGTCCAGCCCTGCCTGCACTGTGCAGAAGCGGGTGTGGAGCGTGGAGCCCTGGAAGAGGTGGGGCTGGCCTGGCTGCCCTGCAGGGACCACAGAGCCTAGCAGAGTTCTGGGGCCCTGCCTCCACCAGCCAGGCAGAAGGCAGCACAGCACCAGACCCCACCACCCCGGGATATCACGGTGTCGAGGACAGGGCCAGATCTCTCTGTTCGTGGCCCAGCCCTGCCTGGTCTTGGGCAAGTGGCTTAGCTTCTCTGTACCCTTAGTTTCTTCAAATGGGGATGCCGGGACATACTTGCCAAGATTGGGGGAGCAGTGAATTACTCCACGTGGAGGGTTAACATGGTGTCTGTCGCCTAGTAAACTTGGGGAAGGGCACCTCTTGCTGTGACCAGGTCTTGGCTACCTCTGCAGTGAAGCCACGCCTTTCTCTAAAAGCACCGAGTGTTCTGGTGTTAAACCCCAAGACCTGCATGCCGGTTGAGATCCAGCAGGAGCATTCCAGGTGCCAAAGGCTGCTTTTGGGCCCTGACTCTTCTGCCCTGGGGTCCTGACCCAGCTCCTTTTCCTGAATCCAGAGAACCAGCCACACTTCAGTGAGACCAGTGGTTGTGAGCACAGGGCCTTAGGAGACCTGTCACTGGCCAGCTGCAATTCCATGACCTCAGGTGAGAATTTCACCTCCCTGAGCCCTAGTCTCACAACTCTAAACTGGGGACAATAACACCAACATCACGTAAGTCAAGGGGCTTCAGTGCAAGTGGATATTTGAATGCCCTTTGCCTGGGACCTGGCTCACGGTTCACACTGGGAAAATACTGGTTGCCTTCCTCCCCTGTGCCAAGCTCTGCAGGGTGTGATGCCCTGGACACCTCTGGGATGTGGGGACCCTAACCATCTGGGCTTTAGGCCTTTCTCTGTTCTCCAAACACCAGATTCTGATGTGTATCGTTACCTTAGGAGATGATTAATTTCTGACTCGGGCTAAAACTTTTATCAACTTGTGGGTCAAGAACAAGGTCTTACTCCTCTATCCCAGGGCACCCAGCACAGAGTTGGCTGATTGCCTCTTTGCCAGTGGACGTCCTGTGCCCCAGCAGCACAGCCTTTTCTGGTGAGGGGCACAGGGCCACAGTTAAAAGCGTGGTGGGAGGAGGACTTCTTTTTGGGCATCTGTAACCAGTGTCGTCCTTGGCTTTTGCTCTTGTCCAGGGAGAAAGCTCTTGGTAGCTGATTCCCTCTGGGGCCATGGAAGCCCAGGGGGCTGCCCTGCTGGGGATCTTCTTTATTCTTTGCACAGGAGGAGGTTTTTGAGTGCCAACCCACGAGTCTGGCCCCGTCAGACTGAGCCTTCACTGAGCTGGCATTGAGGGAGGCGTTTGGGGCAGGTGTTGGGTGTAGGGGGCGGGACTCCAGGGCAGTGTGGGTCCTCTGCTCCGGACAAGGGCAGCTATTGGTGATGGAAACGCAACTCCTGCCCCTGAGCCCTGGCCCCTGCAGACCCCTTCTGGCTCCCCCCAGCCTCCCTCAGACACCCCAGCCCCCAGGAGCCGCCTGGTGGGGAAGGGGTTAACCCGCGCTGTAGAGGGGGAAGGAACTGGCCAGTTGAGCTGCTTGTCAAACTTCATTTAGTAGGGGCTGGAGGGAGGGCCGCAGGGTGCCTGAGGAGGAGGAGGCCCGGCCGCCAAGAGTTAAAACCCGGAGGTTGGGTGTTTTGGAGGGGGCAGCCTCCAGCGCCTCCTTTGAGTCACTTCCTCCGGTGGGGGCGGGGGCTCCCCGGC